AAGTAAATGTTGACATAAGAAACGTCTAAGAGATTTTTTAATGGGTTTATTTGAGCCAGGCTGATGACATTTGCCAGGGAGCAAGGGCAAATGTTCCCTCAAATCCAATTTTTAAAAAAGACACAACAACATCAGGAATAAGAAAGCAACATAATTACAGATGTGAAAGTGAGTTTTAGAATGATAAGAGAACGTTATTTTTTCTGATTATTTTTATTGTACAGTGTAGCATATATAGAAGGGTGCTTAAAACAGAAATATGCTTCTCAATGAATTTTTCCAAAGCAAGTATCTATGTAGCCTTCATCTAAGTTAAGCAATAGAACGTTACCAACCCCTTAGACATCTCCCCCTAATCACTTTTCCCTTCCTCCTCCCCAAAAGTAGCCACTACTCTTTGCTTATAGAAATGAAAGAGACAATGAATTTTTTTACGTTGCCGTATTTTATTCAGTACTATTTTGGAGAGATTCAAGCATTATTTTTAAATATATATTATTATTATTGATTTCAGAGAGGAAGGGAGAGGGAGAGAGAAATAGAAACATCAGTAATGAGAGAGAATCATTGATTTACTGCCTCCTGTATGCCCTCTATTGGGATCAATCCCACACCCAGGCTTGTGCCCTGATCTGGAATGGAACCGTGACTTCCTGGTTCATAGGTCAATGCTCAATCATTGAGCCACACTGGCCGTGCTCAAGCATCTTTTTAAATGTATCAGTCGTTAGTTCATTGTCATTGCATGTAACTTACTGAATAGATGTGCTTTAATTTATTAATTCAGCCTATGTTGATGTTCATTTAGTTTGTGTTTTTATTTAATGAATATTCTTATTCATACTCTTAGTATACTAATTTCTATTAGAAAAAGTAGAATTTGGGGGCCTTGGGCGTTACATGTACTGTTTAGTAAATACTGCCAAATAGGTGTCCAAAGTGGTTGTACTAGTGGTTGCAATATATGAGCATTCCCCTGCTTTGCTTTCTGTGAAAACTGCTCTTTTCACTTTGCTAGCTAATCTGAGGAGTTTGTAGTTGTTTCTCATTGTAGTTTCAATTTGTATTTTTCTAATGCCTAAAGAGGTTTAGCATCTTTTTATAAATTTTTGTTTTATGAAGTGCCTGTGTAGTCTCTTTTTCCATTTTCTTTTAACAAAAGTTCATTCTAGAAGTTCTCTATATAGCTTGACTATGAGCCCTGTGTGCATTCTATGTGCTGTAAATATTTTTCTCACTGTATGGCTTTTCTGTTTCCTCTCAATGGTGTCACTGATGAACAGAAATTCTTAATTTTATTAGAGCAGTTTAATCAATATTTTTATCTTGTGTCTTATTTAAATTTCATACTCCCAAGTTAATGAAGATATTTTTCTCTATCTGCCACAAGTTTTCTTGTTTTTTATTTACATTTGGATCTGCATCCACTTGGAAGTGATTATTATGTATGGCATAAGATAAAGATCAAATTTAATATTTTTGTCCATATGGATGTGGATATGTGGTTGACCTAAGGCCAGTCATTTGAAAATATCCTTTCTTCAGTTGTCTGCAATCCAATCTTCCACATATCAAATATCTATATAGGCATGGATCTTTTCCTTTTGCATTGATTTGTTGGTATAAATCCTACACCTAAATCACATTGTGTTAATTAATGTAGTTTTGTAATGAGGTTTAACACTGGTTTTATTTCTTCCTTAAGTATTTTGTAGAATTTAACAATGTGGTGATCTGGGCCTGGTATTTAATTTTTGAGGAGGTTTTCAATTATGGACTTCATAATTTTAACAATCAAAGACCCATTCAAATTTTCTTTTACTCTGGAGTCAGTTTTTATAAATTGTATTTTTCTAAGAATTTTTTATTGCATTTAAAGTTTCAAAGTTATTGATGTACAGTTATTCATAAATAATACCCTTTTATATTTTAATGTCTATAGTGGTGTTGTCCTTTTTTTCATCCCTGGTTATATACTCTCATTCTCCCTCTCTCTCTTTCAGCATTTAATCAGTATTGCCAGGGGTTTATTAGCATTATTATTAAATGTTTTCAAAGAAACAACTTTTGTTTTAGAATTTGAAATTTGTATATCTTTTTGATGATTTGAGCCTTTTGTTGTTAATCCTCACCTAAGGATATTTCTTCCATGGCTCTTCAGAGAGAGTATAAGGGAGTGAGAGAGGAAGAGAGAAAGAAACATCGATGTGAGAGGGACACATTGACTGGTTGCCTCCAGCACACAACAAGGGGTGGGAGCAGACTCTCAACCCTTCAGTGCACAGGCCGATGCTTTAACCACTGAGCCGTTTAACCTTATAAAATATGTATGCCTACTAATAATTTTATTATAAATTCTACTTTGTGTGATATTAATACATCTATACCAGCTTTTTGTTTATTTGTTTTTAGTGTTTATATGGTATACTTTTTCCACGCTTGAACATAAATCTTGCTATATTCTTACATTTTAGATATATATCTCTTCTAAGTAGCCTATATTTTAATACAGTCTGACATATTTGCTTCTAACTTGAGGGATTTTTTTTTTCATTCTTTTACTTTCAACCTACTTGTACCTTTGAATCTAAAGTGTCTCCTATAGACAACACATAGTAGGAACATTTTTTATTAATTCAATCTGACAATCCCAATAAGAGAATATTATTACAAATTTATGTCAATATATTTGAAAATCTAAATAAAGTGGATGCTTTTCTATAAGAAATATATGCACCCCTATGTTCATAGCAGTGCAATTTACAATAGCTAAGATTTGGAAACAGACTAAGTGCCCATCAACAGATGAATGGATTAAAAAACTGTGATACATTTATACAATGGAATACTAGGCAGCTGTAAAAAAAGAAAGAACTCTTACCATTTGCAACAGTTTGGATGGGCCTGGAGAGCATTATACAAAGTGAAATAAGCCATCAGAGAAAGATAAGTATCACATGATCTCACTCATACATGGAATCTAATGAACAACATAAACTGATGAACAAAAATAGATTCAGAGACAGAGAAGCACCTGATTTCTTAGGATATATTCCTAAAAGTGGGATCACCAGGTTACACAGGCATTCCATGACTTTCTGTAGCCCTTTTAACTGGTGCCAACAGATGTCCAGACCTGCGCTAAGCCCCGCCCAGCCGTGTGCATTTGTTTACTCTCCCGGTGACTGGTGAATGCATGCATTTACTAGACCTACTCAGTATATATTTAAAATTACAGTAATACATATAGAAAACTTTTCTTTGAAATTAAACTTTTCATACAGACTGAATTTTAATGACACAAATATGTCTACATAAATAAAACCAGGTAAACTAATTTGTCAACTTTTTAAAAAATATTTTTATTGATTTCAGAGAGAGGAAGGGAGAGGGAGAGAGAGATTGAAACATCAATGATGAGAGAGAATCCTTGATTGGCTGCCTCCTGCACGCCCCCTACTGGGGATCGAGCCCACAACCCAGGCATGTGCCCTTGACGGGAATCAAACCCAGGACCCCCCAGTCCGCAGGCTTACGCTCTATCCATTGAGCCAAACCGGATAGGGCTAATTTGTCAACTTTTTAACAACACATTTGGAAAACCTACTTTATTAGATAACAGACTTTCGGCTTTAACAGACCCCCCTCACTTGAATTAATCAATTATATTGAGGTTTTACTCTATTTCCTCTATATTAGCTGCAGGCAAAAAATATAACTTTTTAAATATTCCATTTATAATAAAATACTTTGTTTATTTTAAATAAGATACTTAAAAATAGCCTAGCAAAGATGTTTTTGGCGAAATCATAAAATGTTATTAAAAAGCATGAAATAGGACCTAAATGAATGGTGACATGTGTCCTATTCCTGGCTAAGAGACAATATCACAAAGATGTCAAATTCCCCAACTTAATCTATATTTTAATGCAATTTCAGTGAAATGCTCAACAGGATTATTCATGGAACTTGGTAAGCTGACCATACCATGTCAGTGGAATAGAAAAGGAAAATGAATAGCCAAGACAGTTTTCAAGAACAACAAGCTAGAGTCACTCTCCGAGACAGCAAACCTTAACTGTAAAGTCATAGTGGTCAAGACAATGTGGTCTACTAGGAATAGAATGAAATGGCTAGTGTGAGACCTACACATGTATGGGAAAACAGTTATGTCAGAAAAGATATTTCAAATCAGTAGATGAAGATGGACTATTCAATAAATTGTATTAAGAAAATTGGTTATCTATACAGAAAAAGAGAAAGCATATTTCTACCTCATATGGAGTACAAAAATATATTTCAGATTCATGGGTTATTATGAAAAACAAAATTTTACAACTTTTAGAACAGAGGAGAATTTTTTATGACCCATAATATAGAAGAATATTTTAAACAAGATACAAAAAAAACCATAGAGGAAAACTTTATAAAATTATTAAAAATAAAAAATCAGAAAAAATTATAAATTTGGCCACATTGAAATTTAAAACTTAGATTCATCAAAACATACCACAAATAAAGTCAAAGACAAGCAAGCCACAGACTGGAAGAAGGTCTTGTGATGCATATAACTGAAAAAGATTAATATGAAAAATATAGAAAGAATCCTAAAAACAAACACAACAAATAGCCCATGAGACAAGAATATGAACATGCAAGTCAACAGAAGATGAAATAAAAATCTCAACACATTAGCCATATTAAAACAGCAGTGAAATATTTTATACCCATCACATGAGCAACATTTTTTTAATTCACTAATAGAATTGAAAAATCTAAACACATAGAAACAGGGGATGCAAAAGTGGTTTCCAGGAGAGGAATAGGAAGAAGTTGGTAAAAGGGTACAAACCTTCAGTTTTAAGGTGAATAAGGTCTGAGGATCTGATGTGACACATGGTGACTATAGTGACAATACTGTGTTGCAAGGGGCCGGGGAAGGGGCCAGAGATGTGGGCTTGAATCCATGGGTGTTGGGTTCTCTCGCCTCTCTGCCCCAGGTGTGCCACCGGGGAGGCGTGGCAGGACATCATGCTGGCCTGCATGCCAGGGAAGAAGTGCGCCCCGGAGTCTGAGCCCCACAACAGCACGGAAGGGGAGGCACCCTGTGGCAGCAGCTTCGCCGTCTTCTACTTCATCAGCTTCTACATGCTCTGTGCCTTCCTGGTAAGCTGGAGTTGGACTAAATACCCACAGGGAATGAGCGAGCAGGTCGGGGCAGCTTGACCCTGCCATCTCCGCAGCTCATGGCAAAGGCGACCCCAGCAGAAGAGCTGCCGCAGAAAGATTGAGTTAATAGGAATGTCCAACCACACTGAGACAAGGACAGAAAGCCTGAGCCAGAGTGACCGCAGCCAGCATCTCTCTTGTCCGTTCTTGGCTCTTGTCATGGTGGCATTGTCCCAGAGGACAGAGGAGATGCCTGTGGAGGCCTAGAAGCAACTTAGACATTTTTGACCCTTTGATTGGAGAATGAGGGAAAGGTGGTAGATAAAGTTGCCCTCTCTTCTTGGCAGCCCTGCCCAGCAGCCTAGGAGGGAAGCTGTCCAGCCCACGTGTGGGTTCTGCACACATAATTCTGAGGGGAGCTGTGTTATGATCATATCCAAGAGGCCCAAGTTTCAGGGACTGGTGGTGTAAATGGTGACATATGGCTGGTCTTTAGAAATGTCAGCTTCTGCCATGCTGGCAAAGTGGATTCAAGTGGCAAGTGTGTAAGAAGGTCCTCTTAGGTAACTCATCATACTCTCTGTTCTCTGCAGATTATCAACCTCTTCGTAGCTGTCATCATGGACAACTTTGACTACCTGACAAGGGACTGGTCAATCCTTGGTCCCCACCATTTGGACGAATTTAAAAGAATATGGGCAGAGTATGACCCTGAAGCCAAGTAAGTTCCCAGGCAGAAATTCTGATTCCCAAAGCCAAGAGGGAGGATTGCACAACCATACCTATAGAAGAGGGTCTAGATGGGTTAGCGTGGGGTGGGTCCACTGGAAGCACTGAATTGTACCAGACCCCAGGGTCCAGGGTCAAGGACCAGCAGTAGGAAGCCAGGCACTTTGATTAAGTCATGAATATATCTGCAATTTGCAGTTGAATGGAAAGATAGAATATTCTAGTATTTAGAATAACTGGTAGATACTCAAGTTAGGATGAATAGGACCAGGTACATCTCAACTCCTTTCCTGCCTCAAGTCCAAGGATACCCTTTTCAATCAATCACATTTGGTTAACACTCAATAAATACCTTTTGGTCAGGTGGTTAGTTGACTGAAGCAGCAAGTACATGTTGAGAATTTCATTGCACTACTAAATCCTTCCATTTTGAACATACACCACTGGATGGCTCACTAAAACCTAAACATGTATATATTGGTTTTGGAGTTTTACCATGCAATTCTGAAGCTCTGCACTGAGTTTGACCAATAGGACTCCAGCTATGGAGAGTCCCTCCTATAGGTGGGCCCCCACCTCTCAGGAACATGAGTCCTGGCCCGCTGGCTAAGACCATGGCTCCTGACTGGCCTTTCCCTCCTCTTCTTCCTCTTCTAGGGGTCGTATCAAACACCTGGATGTGGTGACCCTGCTCCGGAGGATTCAGCCCCCACTGGGTTTTGGGAAGCTGTGCCCTCACCGTGTGGCTTGCAAAGTAAGAGACAACCTGGGTTCATGGGAGAAAGAGAGAAAATATGGGAGGCAAGATGCCTGTTTGTCTTGTAACCTTGGTCAAGCCAATGCTTTAAGGAAGTGAAGACAGTATTTTATGTGCCTAAAGAAATGAGCCTGAGCCAGGTTATATTTTAAGGTTCCTTCCAGCAATAAGTTCTCAGCCTCTATAAAGGAAAAGCGAAGTGAATGCCTCATGTCCCAGTGAGCCCTGTGCCCAGTCCTGAGTAAAGGCCCTTGTTCAGAGCACGCTGTGCCACCTATGCAACCTCACAGACTTCCATCTAGGATGGTGGATTAGGGTGTTCTCCTAGGATCACAGGGCCAATAGAAGGTCCATGCATCAGCTTCAGGGATCCACAAAGCCCTAAAATTGTATATGAAGTCACTGAGACACTCACAAATTGTACCAGGGAGAGAATCATCGTGCTCATCAGATTTCCAAGTGAGTCCATGATGTTTAGGACAAACATCCTAGGTTCTGTTAGACCTGACTTCTTGCCTATGTGGCCCTTGCATGACCCTGAGAGTGAGCGCTCCCTTAAGTCTGTGCCCTCTCTTGCCTCTGTAATCCCAACCATGTAGCCCAGCACTTGCTGAAGAGTCTTGTTTCCACTCTCTCCCCTCTTTCTTTAACTCTCATGATCACCCTTCTGAATTCCATGTTGGAATAGTGACAGGTTGAAAAGGGGTTAGGGGGCAGTGACATCAGAGAACTGTACAGAGGAAGAAACACAAGTAGAAAAATTCAACTCTGTGGATAACCCACTCATGGAAAATGGAGAATTGACAGAATATAGAACCTTCTACTTGTGCTCTGTCTTACTCCGTTTTTCCTCACTTGTACCTCCACTTCATTCAAAAAAAAAAGATTTTAGAAGATTTCCCAGGGTGTAAAAGATATGAGAAACAAAGAGCACAAATTAAGTGTCAGGGAAAGCATAGTGGGAAACTAGAGTGGCGATGAGTGAGGCTGCAGTTCCATCGGGGCCTCCGGATGGGCCTGCACAGGCTGCGATTGAGCTGGCACTTCCCAGAGACCGCTGGAAAAGTCACTCAGAGCAATTATAACCCTTCTTGGCACCACGATTGACAGGAGGACACCATGTGATCTAACGAATAATAGCCTTGACCACATCCTGGGAGCAGATGCCAGAATGAATTTCATGGTGCCTTTTCTCACAATGACCCTGGTATATGCTGAGGGCCCCACACTGAGCACAGTGCCATGGCAGCAGTGTTGGGGGTGGGGGGTGGGGAAGGAGGAGAGAGGGCAACTCAATCCTGTCCAGTGTCAGCAAGCCTCTGATCCAGCCTGATGTAGAGGTAGATTTTTCAATATACAGAAAAAAAGGACAAATGCATCTCCTGCAAGCATCTCCCATTATTGTCTCTCTTATCAGGCGTTAGATGAATGTGGGCTGGCAGGTGGCTCCCAGCAAATGCCTGCGCACAGCTGCTCTCTGTTGCCAGTAGAGAGCACACCCATACGCATGAGCAGCATTTGAACGGGGAAGGGGTTGGAAGCAAGGGTCTAACAGGGACAACTTCCATCCCTCCCTCACTCTGGGCAGCTGGGTGAGAGTATCCGTGGCAAAGCCAAGATTCTCCCAGAACAGGTTTTGAATACATTTCAGTGGCTCCTGCTTCTACACGCCCGCCCACTGCAGACACATGCACACATGTTCAGAGGCTCCCTCCCAGCGTTCTCCTGCCCTGGTGATTCCGTGGGTCCTTTGAGAACCGTTTGCTGTAATCACCAGCTCTGCCTCCCTTCCCCCTCCAGCGCCTGGTCTCCATGAATATGCCTCTGAACAGTGATGGGACGGTCATGTTCAATGCCACCCTATTTGCCCTGGTCCGGACAGCCCTGAGGATCAAAACAGAAGGTAAGAATCACCCACAGGGCACTGGAAGAGCCACCCAGAAGACCTGGCACACCAGCTAGAGGCGGTTGGCACCTGCAGAGGCCCAGGACCTTCCCGTCCTGCGCGGAGCTGTGGCTCAGCAATAACTCCACCTCGGGGTTATAAACCGGGCCTCGTCCTGTTTCCTTTGCCTCTTGAATGGCCTCTAGCTTATTTATTTTGAACTCCAGCTTTCCATGTTGAAGTCATAGGGTATCGTTCAAAAACCAGAAAAAGGTGAGTGTTACCTGAAGCAAGACCAAGCCTCACCTAAATGAAATTGAATTGTCTGCAAATGGGCCTCTCAAATGCTCAACATTCTTTTTAAATTAAAAAATCTGTGTGGACTCTGGATGGGTAGCCCAGCTGGTTAGAGAGTTGTCTTGATATGTGAAGATTGTGGGTCCGATCCCCGGTCAGGGCACATACAAGAGTCAATAAGGGCCCGGCCGGCATGGCTCAGTGGTTGAGCATCAACCCATGAACCAGGAGGTCACAGCTTGATTCCTGGTCGGGGCACATGCCCAGGTTGCGAGCTCGATCCCCAGTGTGGGGCATGCGGGAGACAGCGGATTGGTGATTCTCTCTCATCAGTGATGTTTCTCTCTCTCTCTCTCTCTCTCTCTCTCTCTCTCTCTCTCTCTTTCTCTCTCTCTCTCTCCCTCTCTCCTCTCTCTGAAATTAATAAAAATATATTTTTTTAAAAGAATCAATCAGGGCACATACCTAGGTTGTCTCTCTCTCTCTCTCTCTCTCTCTCTCTCTCTCTCTCTCTCTCTCTCTCTCTCTCTCTCTCTCTCTCTCTCTCTCTCCGTCCCCCCCCCCCCAGTTTTCTTATCTTCTTATCTCCCTCTCTAAAAAAATATAAAAAATAATAAAAACATATCCTTAGGTGAGGGTTAAAAGAAGCCCTGTGTGGGGAAGGGGTCATAGTGGCAAACGGTGACTATGGTCGAAGCCATCACATGCAGTGGCACAAGGGCTCAGCCAGCTCACGGGTAGGGGTTAAGATCGCACCTGTGCCCCACTAGGCAGGCCGTGCTCCCTGGGCCCGTGTCCACGTGGAGGGACACCTTCTAGTTTGCACAAAAGCACCCTGCGGGCTGCAGCCGCTTTGGCTGCAATAATCGGCTGTCTGTGTAATTGATGTTTTCCTGAACCATCTGTGGAAAAGGCTGTATGAAATGTACCTAAGAGTTGTATTTGCTGTAAGACCTTCTAGCCTGTTATATAGTGTTTCTCAGAGAGTGATCAAAAGACCACCTGCCTCAGATTCAACTATTGGAGTTTCTTTAAAATACTGAGCCCACGCACCAGCTCAGATCTCCAAATCTGAGGCTCAGAGCAGGCTCGGGAATCTGCACGTTCAACCAGCCACATTAGGATTCAGACAGGAAGTGAAGTTTGAAACCCTCATCTAGAGAACAAAGAAAGCACAGAGAGAAGCAGTATGTCTTCTTTCCCTTCTCATGCTTCAGTCTGAGAGGTGCGGGCTGCCAGCCACGCGTCTTGGGCGCAACAGAAGGAGCTGGGCAGGGAGAGGGAGACCTGACTCGGATCACATCTGTGACAAGTTGTGTGTCCTCTCTCTGCTTAAGCTTCTTCATCGTCAAATAAGAGGGGTAATGAGCTGATACGAGGGGAGTCACTTCAGTGAGTAACCCAGAGAGGTGCCTTCTCTCGGTTAAAGCCTTCCAGAAAATAATAGAAACATCCTAAATGAAAGAAAACAAAAACAGGCCATCACAATACATGTCAAAAATAATGAGCTCATCTTTAAAAAAATTAAAAATGGTTCAAGTTCTGCTGCTAAGCTACTAGTCTAAAGAAACAACGAATATACTCTTGGTAGCTAATGCAATAGCTCAATCTGAAATGGATGTAAGTAGGCCTATTCTTCACACTGGAACAACTGAACACACATTTAATGTACTGTGTGTATATAGCAAGGAGAAAAACTGGAAGGACATTTATTATGTTAAAATGATTCTCACTGAGTAGTAGAGTGAGCAGTGATGTTTACCTTCTTCCTTTACTTCTGTTACTTTCCAAATTTCTACAATGACTATTACAGTTATGTCCAGGAGGAAAGGTTTCCTTCTCTAAGGGAGAAGGTGTGACAACTGCGAGAAGGAATACTGTGCAGGACTTACAGCTTGATGTAAATTGAGGGAACACATTTTCATTCCTTGGAGGACTGAATAGCACTGGTGCACGGAGGCCCGAGTCCTCACTGTTGAAGATGCGCTGTCAGCGCAAACCAAGCCCCAGCTAAAGAATACCAACCGCTGCTGACAGTGCCCAAGGCGCTGCTCCGAAATGCCCAGGACGCATGGCCAGGCTCCAGGAAATGAGCGCTCACGGGCGGGAGAAGCCAGCCACATGGGAACTGCAGTCAACAATTAAAGGAAACTTGAAACACTAAGACATTTATCTACTGCATAGCATTGTCCCTATGGCTCACAGCACTGTTTTGTATGCTTAAAATTCTGTCTGGTGGGTAGATCTCCTGTTAAGTGTTCTTACCAGAATAACATGAAATTTGGGGGGGGCGGAGGAATAGCTACCAAAGGGCCCACAGTGCCAGCTCAGGGGCAAACCTTTATCAGAGACAAACCCTCCCCCATAGTGTTAATCTCTTAAGTCTAGAAGACAAAGGCAAGTTCTTAGAAGCCACTGGAGAGAAATGTGAGAAAGCATCTCAACTTGTGAGGATAGAGTCTTCACCAGTCATCACCCTTCAGACTTTTGAGCGTGGAAGCAATTGGACAGAAATTATCACCTTCTTCAGAGAACCAGTCCCAAGCCACACAAAACTTTGGGATGCAGAAGGAAGATATGTTTAAATACTTAGATGATGTGCAACAACTGCTAGTGACGTTCCCCAGGTACACAGCTAATCATGAGAATAAACTGAAGCCTGAAAAAGATTAAAAGTTCTTTTGGAAGATAGATTTGTTGCCTAAGTCCATGGTAGCAGACTGTAGCAGACGGGACAGAAATGTTTCCTCTCACAGTTCAGGTGGCCAGAAGCTCAAAATCAAGGTGTCAGCGGGGGTCCCTTTCGGCTCTGAGGGGAGCTGTTCCCTGCCTCTCTCCTGGCTCCTGGTGGCTTTCTCACTCCAGTCTCTGCCTCCATCCTCTCCTGGCCTTCTTCCCTGTGTGTCTCCACATGTCTCCTCATCTGATAAGGACACCGGTCACACTGGATTTAGGGCCCACAAACTCATCTTAACTAATCACATCCACAAAGACTCTATTTCCAACTAAGGTCATATGCCAAGGTTCCATGTGGACATGAATTTGGAGGGAACACTATTCAACCCACTACATAAGATAAGTATATTTGAGCATTGTATTAATTTGGACTCTTTCACTGCATATGTCAGAAACCACTAGCTACCTTACCCAGGAAGGGAGCCTAACCACAAAGGACTCCCTCCACAACTAGAATGCCAAGACTGCCCTTTGGCTCAGGTGCTGTTTGGATCGATGTTCCCACAGGGGATTCAGGTGTCCACCACTCCCTTGCCACCTCTGCTTGCTCCTGTTGGGCTTCCTTCAAAGGGAGCCTCTCTGCAGGGCCACAGAGCGGATTCCAGCGCAGGCAGCCTGACCAGCTCTGGCCGTGCTGCCACCCTGCGGAGTAGCACTAAGCAATTCAGCACACAGACCTCACTTTATTGCTCGTTGCAGATAGGGCAAGACCCTCCACCAGAAAAAGGATTAGGACTTGCTGAAGGCTCAGCTGATGGTTACCATTTTTTAGCAATATTTTTCAGTTAAGGTGTTTACATTGTTTATATAGACACTAGAGGCCTGGTGCACAAATTCGTGCATGGGTGGGGTTCCTCGGCCTGGCTGGCGATTGGGCCAATCAGGACCGTCTCCCAATCAGGGCTGTCCGGGGGCAGGGAGCACGGGAGGTTGACCGGCTGAGGGAGGTTGGCCGGCTGAGGGAGGTTGGCTGTGGAAGCTCACTGACCACCAGGGGGCAGCTACTGCATTGAAGGTCTGCCCCCTGGTGGCCAGTGTGCATCATAGCTATTGGCCAGTCATCGGTCATCCAGTCGTAACAGTCACTTTGGCTTTTATATATATAGATAATGCTATTGTACAATTAATAAACTACAGTATAGTGTAAACATAATGTTTATATGCACTGGGAAACCAAAAAAAAATTGTGACTGGCTTAATTGCAACATTCGCTTTATTGCGGTGGTCTAAAACGGAATATCATAGAAGTCTGCCAGTATTGGTTTCCTATTGCTGTATAACCAATTACCACACATTTCTTGTCTTGAAACAACGCCCAGGTATTGGCTCCCAGTTTTGTAGTTCAGGAGTGGAGCCATGGGGTAGCTGAGTTCTGTGCTCAGGGCTTTACAAGGCCAACAGGATATTGGTCAGGATGTGTCCTCTCCCAGAGGCTGCAGGGAAGAACCCACTTCCAGCTCATTCAGGTTGTTGGCAGGATTCACTTCTTGCAGTTGCAGGGCTGGCTCTCTGCTGGGACCACTCAGCCCCAGAGGCTGCCTCTCTCAGCTCAGCTCACAACACAGTGCGTGCTTTCTTCCAGGCCCACGCCACCATCTCTCTCACTCCTGCTCCCAGCTGGAGAGAACTCTCTACTTCCACCTTTTGACCCCCTTCACACGTTTATTTTTTGTTTGTTTTGTTTTTTATTGAGGTACAATTGACATATAACATTATAATAGTTTCAGGTATACAACTTAGTGATTTGTTATTTGTATATGTTGTAAAATGATCACCACAATAATGCTAGTTAACATTCATCACCATGTATAGTTATAATATTTTTCTTGTGATGATAACTGTTTTTTTAATCCTCACCTGAGGCTATGTTCATTGATGAGAGAGAGAGAGAGAGAGAAAGAGAGAGAGAGAGAGAGAAACATTGATTGATTGCCTCCCGTATGCACCCCAACCACAGACCAAACCCACAACCTAGGTATGTTCCTTGACCAGGAATTGAACCCACAACCTTTTGGTGTACAGGATGACGCTCCAACTAACAGGGCCACCCATCCAGGGTTTGTGATGAGAACTTTTAATATCTACTCTCTTAGCAACTTTTAAATTGCAATACAGTACTAACTATAGTCACCAAGTTGTGCATTATATTCCCAGGACTTACTTATTTTATACTGGAAGTTTGTACCTGAGAACTCTCTACTGTTAAAGAGCTCATGTGATTAGGTCAGGCTCACCTAGATAACCTCCCCATCTCAGGGTCATATGTGTCATGTAATAAAACCTACTCACAGGGTGAAATCCCTTCTGGTCACAGGCCAGGGACTGTGCAGGGGTGCATATATCAGTGGTGGTGGGAGGAAGGTTGGGGGCATCTTACATCCTGTCTCACAGCTGCAGGCCTCAGCTTTCCTCTCACATGGCAATAAGGCCATTATCCCAGAGGCTGCATGGGGTAGCACCTCATTAGCCTGTTTCGCCAGTGGGGAAGGTAGACCCAGAGAATCCAGTGTCTTCAATTTCTGCCTCCACACTGAGGCTGTGCCACCTGCTCCCCGCAGGAGACTCAGCAAAGGGCTTTGACACTGGGGAGACTGCTCTTCTTCCAATCACCCACATCTCTCTGGCAACCACGGGGGCCCTGAGAAATGCCATCCAGGAAGAGCCCCTGTGCTCTCCCGCCAGATGGCTGTTGAGCTCTGTCCAGCACCAGCAGCCTTGTCAGTCCTAAGTGCCGCCCACAAGGAAAAGCAGTGTGTGAGGTGAAGGGACGCCCTTGGCCGGCTGAATAGCAGGCCAAGAAGGAATGGCGTTGGACAGGGCACAACACAGGGGAGAAAGAGAGAAACAAGGGATCAGGACCATCTGTGGGGCACTTGATGCTGAGAACACACCCCATGGGGGGCCTCCAAGAGTCGGATGATCTTTTCAGCCTTGTGTCTGTCTCCCTCCCCTCAGGGAACCTGGAACAAGCCAATGAGGAGCTGCGGGCCATAATCAAGAAGATCTGGAAGAGGACCAGCATGAAGCTGCTGGACCAAGTGGTGCCCCCCGCGGGTGGTAAGTGCTTCCCGGTCTCCGCACACTCGCCACTTGCCTGGTTCTTGAGTTGCTAGGCTTGTGGGAAACCTGCTCTCCCCGAACCCTGCCTGTGGGCTGAAAGGCCCACCTGGTTAGAAGGGACGAGGGTGCCACACCCTCCACAAACTCAGATACAGGCCATTGGGTTGGAGATCGAGTCCAGTCCTGCATTTCGCAGATGAAGTCAGGCAAGGCCTCTCAAAGCTTGAGGTTTGGCAGAACTTCAAGTAAACTTTTAAGTTTCCCCATAAACCCCTGGCCTGATGGCTCTTGTCATAAATGGGCCCTGAGAGCGCCTCCTGGTGGGAGCTGTGTGTGTCCTTCCCAGGGCATGTTGCTCAGCCCTGTGCACCCACAGCCCCTACCGCTGTCCTGAGCCATAGGTAAAACAGCCTTCCCACACATGTAATTTCCAAAATATTAATATAATGCTTTAATGAATATAAAATGTATTGAAATCTAATGGCTTTCAATATGTAAAGTTATAACTAACTGAAGGAATGCTTGTATGCACCCACGTATAACAAATAAGTGTTTAAAGGAAGTAAGATGATTGAATATTGTCAACATCTTGTTTTTGTCATTTTGAAGTATAAGGCCTAAGTATATTTAAACAACTTTACACACGCACATATATATACATACACCTACATGCATGCACATGCAAAGGACACATGCTGACTGAGACAGGCAGGTCAACGACAGCGGGGACTCAGATTCCATCGGGGCAGGTGAAGCAAAGTCTTCTGTCAACTTACACAGCAGTTATGTTCCTGGAAAATTCTGGACATATTAAAACTATGTAAAATGAAGTGAGGTTCTTAGCTCGGATAATTATAAGCAGGTTGTCCCCCACATGGATGTCCTATCATAGTACTTGAAAGAGTGAGAAGCTATTATTTATTGTGCAAAACATGTCTGTGCTTAAGGGCCACATCGAGAGCCATTTAGTACCAGTAGCACCCCAAGTCACCATGTCAACTAAAAACATCCCACCTGCCTCAAAACACTTTTTAAAAGGTGACACCACCCCTGTTGACTGAAGGGTCCCAGGTTCGATTTTGGTCAAGGGCATGTACTTTGGTTGCGGGCACATCCCTAGTAGGAGGTGTGCAGGAGGCAGCTGATCGATGGTTCTCTCTCATCAATGTTTCTAACTCTCTATCCCTCTCCCTTCCTCTCTGTAAAAAATCAATAAAATATATTTTTTAAAAAAAACAAAACATCCCACCAGCCTCAAAACACTTTTTAAAAGGTGACACCACCCCTGTTGAGAACCACTTCCCAGAGGGAAGGCAGGACTGGGACTGAGTGGAGTCACAGAGATGGACAGGCGGCATCTGACGGCTTACATACAGTATTTTATTGGCTCCTTATAACGTTTCTATGACGTTTGCTCAAAGAATCATAGTTCCTAGAAACTAAGTAGCTGGCCCAAGGCTACGCTGTGAGGACCTAGCAGATTTGGGATTTGAACCCAGGTCTGAGGGATGCCAGAGCGCCAAGCTCTTTCCCCTGCAATACTTCCTCCCCGACTGCCCTGGACAGGGGCTCAGGGTCTTTCCTCCCAATGGGAATGAGGCCCTTGCCAGAGGCATGGCCATCAGTGCTGTGGATTTGGCTCCTCTTTGAGGACAATTAGAAGCAGGAGAACCATCGCAAGCCCTTAGATCTGACCCAACCAGCTGATTCCCAGGCCCGTGGCCCTGTCCTTCACAGAGACCTAGGAGGTTCAGCAAAGGGGGTCCCTATAGGGCATGAAATATTCTCGTTGGAGACTTCCTGGCTTCTCCATCACATGGTTCATTCCCAAGACAGGGAACCCAGCCAACCCAGTCTGTCTGGTTGAAAGAAAAACCCAAACTTACACAGGAGGAAGGTGCTCCTCCCACCACCGCTCCTGCTGGTCTTTAAGCAGAACTATGTTTGCACTCAGGGGACTGGTTGCTGGGGGTCTGAAGCTTCGGAATCAAATAGGAACAGTAACAATGTCAGTTCAGTAAACGGAGCAAGGTGGGAAATAATTTTGACAATATGGTATTTTTCTTTAAAAAGGGGGCAATAAGAATATATTGCTCATTTACAGAAAGCATTTGCATAAAGAATCTTTGCAAAAATATTCAAGAAACTAACAAAAAGCTTATCTATTAGGAGGTGGTAACCTGGCAGATGGGAACAGTGGGAGAGAGGCTTTTCACTATATAATTTTTTATGTAGTTTTGTCTTTTTGAACCATGTGAATGTACTATCTCTTCAAAGTATAAATTTAAAAATTTTTAAAGTTTGGATGCTGAAAAATAAATTAATAAAGCCCAACTGAATTCCCCTTGTTCATCTCCAATTCCCTGTTCTCTTTTGAATGTCAGATGATGAGGTCACGGTCGGCAAGTTTTATGCTACTTTCCTGATCCAAGAGTACTTCCGGAAGTTCAAGAAGCGCAAAGAGCAGGGCCTCGTGGGCAAGCCCTCCCAGAGGAACGCCTTGTCCCTACAGGTGAGGGACCAGTGGGGCCACACCCCAAGGAAAGGCCTGGCCTCCTTCCTCTGACCTCTGGCCAGGGTCCAAGTCTCTCACCAGTGGGCGGGAGCCAGGTCCCTTCAGAAGGTAGATGCTGAGGTTCCCTGACAGCCCCTGCCACCTACCGTGCCTTCATCTCTCCTGGATATGAGCCTGGGTTCTTCCACTTGGAACCAGACAGAACGGTCCCAGAGACGCCCTGGTTCACACACACAGGGTGCCTTATGGGGGCTCCCTGCCTGGGGAGACACGCGGGTGAGTGGCTGGGCGGGGGCCCCGGGCTCACCGTCCCTCTGGGTTCCAGGCTGGCTTGCGCACGCTGCACGACATCGGGCCCGAGATCCGACGGGCCATCTCCGGAGACCTGACAGCCGAGGAGGAACTAGACAAAGCCATGAAGGAGGCTGTGTCTGCCGCCTCTGAAGACGACATCTTCAGGGTAGGCGGATGCTGCAGAGCACTCTCCACCTTAATCAAGTTCGGTTGAAGCAGGAGGGTGAACTGGTGTCCTGCCAAGAAAACCCAGGGAGAAAGGCCCGAGTTCTGTGGCAGATTCCAGCTCTGCCCACCAGCTATTTCCTCCCCCTCCCCTTTTCCAAGCCCAAGTCCCTCTCAAGCCAGGGCTCCCAGGACATGGCAGCTCTGAGGGCATCGCGGGCTCTGGGAGGAGGAAGAGGGACCCATTTTCCGAGGGAAATGTTTCCAAGGAGAAAGTAAATGTACTTGTAGAAGCAGCAAAGTGATGGCCCTTGGGCCACAGCTAACATGCAGGCCCATTTAGTTCGCCAGCCTTTGAAAATCGGGCACATTCAAATAAAAATCTAGACTTCTGGTTTCTCTTTAAAGCATGGGAAGCCCTGTCGATGTTAGGCTGTGGCCCCCATGGCAGCAGAGGGCTGGAGCCCAGAGGCAGTTGTCCCCTAGATGGGACATGTGTTCTCCAGGTCACAGGGTCCCTCCAGCCTTGCCCCTCCTCCCCTGGGCCGGAGGCTGAGTTCAGTGTTCACAGTAGGAACAACATGACTGGAATGCTTGGGCTCTTACATCCGGCTCTCTCCGTTCATTGGTGGTACCTGCCTGATCCCGAAGGCATTTATCTAAGTGTTTCTCCAGCGAGGGCCAGCGCACACCTGTCCCTCCCAGCCCCGTGCCCGGGGCCCCAGGCTGTGGAAACACGGGGAGGCGAGAGGAAATGGTCCTGCCTGTAGCTGACCTGTCATCACATCCTCATTCTCATCACTGCTAAGTGTGCGTTACTGAACGGCCTCAGGGACACAGCAGCAGGTTGACAGGGCCCTGCCCAGACCCCGCCGACCAACCTTGCCAATAGCTACTTGCCCACTTGTCCAGGACAAGGAAAGAATGCTGGGCATGAGCCCAGTTCCAGATCTGAAATCTCTAAGACTCCCCCCCCCCACAACCCCCGCCCCCGCACACACACACAGGAAAGGAGGCCATAATATAATAGAGGTGGTAAATCCATCATCTTTATTTTCAAAGCCTTTAGCTAACACAGTTTCTAGCCCAGTGAGCCAGTTGGAGTTCCATTTTTAAATCTTGTTGGAGCCTCCGGCCCTTCCCCGCCCCTCAGACCTCGCAGTGCCTCAGCTGCCACCCCTCTCAGGTGCAGGGGAGGCTGGGCGCCCTAGACTCATCCTTGAACTCAACCCCAGTCTTCCGCAGGCTCATTAGAAACTCCCCGGGCAGCGGCTGCCCAGCCTGGCTGGCTCCCACAGGATGTCCTGTCCCTCACTATTCCCCAGCCCTTCCAGAGGGGACTGATGGGTCCCTGCCACTCCAGCTGCCAGGCCACGTGGGTGAAGAATCCCCGCCCACCACGTGCTGCCCCGCGTGGCTGCGCTCTCAGAGGGCGGACAACTTCCCTTACGGTGGCTGCGGAGGAGAGGTTGCCACGGAGGCGTCCTCCTCCACCCACCCCTCCTGTCTTGCCTGCAGAGGGCCGGTGGCCTGTTCGGCAACCACGTCAGCTACTACCAAAGCGACAGCCGGAGCACCTTCCCCCAGACCTTCACCACTCAGCGCCCGCTGCACATCAACAAGGCCACCAACAGCCCAGGCCACACCGAGTCCCCGTCCCATGAGAAACTGGTGGACTCCACCTTCACTCCCAGCAGCTACTCATCCACTGGCTCCAATGCCAACATCAACAACGCCAACAACACTGCCCTGGGCCGCTTTCCCCGCCCCACCCGCTACCCCAGCTCCGTAAGCGCCGTGGAGGGCCATGGGCCCCCCTTGTCTCCCGCCATCCGGGTGCAGGAGGCAGCGTGGAAGCTCAGCTCCAAGAGGTAAGCAGGCGGGCGGGGCACCCAGGGTCCTGCGCGGCCTCACACACTCCAGCTCAGAGGGGTCGGGGAGGAGAGTTTGGCCCCCCGGCCTGCACTCACCCCTCACGCTGGGGTGGACGCTGCTGCCCCGTGATCCAGGGAGAGAGCAGGGTGCAGGCCGCCTCCCAGGTCCTGCCCTGACTACAGGTGGCAGCCATGCTCAGGGAAGGCGCGTGGCCCCACTGCCAGCAAGTGTCCTGAGGAGCACGCCTCTGGCAGAGCCTGCTCTGTGCTCTGGGCCCAGCCCCGCCCATGCAGAGGCCCTGGCCTCTCAGCCCCAAGATGTTTGCATCCTGGCTACACTACAGACACCGTTCCCCAAGTGGGAGGGGAATGAAGTTACCGCCTCCTCTTTCTACCCTTCTCACCCTTCCAGGGAGGGGCCTCTTGGTGGCAGGAGGCCCTTCGCTGTAGCAGTGGCTCATCTGTCCCAGAGTAGCTCATTCCTGGTCTTGACTGCGCCTCCCACCTCCTGACCGGCTCTTTCTCCCTGTGCTCTGCTCCCTGGTGCTCCAGGGCGCTGTGCTGGGATAGCCCTCTCCCTGCTGCCATGCTCTGGGCCTCTGGGAGCACAGCCTGGCCTAGAGGGTCTGCCTGCCTATGTGGGCAGCTCTGGCTCCCCAGGCCGGTGGGAGAGGCCGCGCATCTGCACCTTGCCACCTCACCCTTAGCTGCACTGCTCGCCCAGAGCCGGGTGGCAGATCCCAGCATGCCCGGTTCTTGGGCCAGTCTCCTTTTCTGCCCTTGAGCTCAGAAAAATTGAAATGTCCCAGCGTCTTTCTCAATCCATGGGCACGTGTCCTGAGCTGCTTTCCTTCAAGGAACCAGCGGCACCCTTGTACGTCCACATGGCCTGGCCACTTACCAGTGACTGACGGCAGACAAGTCAAGCCGGCCATCTGTCTACATTGCTGCCTAAGATGAGCTGGCTCACCACCCAAGCAGTGCTGGCGAGTCCTGCCCACTCACACTGATGCCTTCTAGCTGCAGGGCCGTGTGTGAGCCCTGGGTTTGGTGTGCTGATCAGAAAGGCTGGTTTGCACAGAAGGATGTCAACATCCAGGTGGCTGGCCCAAGCTGTCTTGGCGGCCCCTCCCTTTTCTGCAACCTTCCCCCCTTCCCATGTCCTTCAGGGACTCAGTCCTAGTACCATCTTCTCCCTGCTCCCCTTATCCTCCAAGGAAGGCTTGCTGTGTTCATCACTAGCGTCTCAGTGTAAACTGACCCCTCCTTCAAAGGGAATTTTCATATGAGACTTCGTTGTGTATTAAGTAAGGAAGGTAAAATCACTTTAGAGAGGAGGTAGGGAGGGACATTGGGGATTTCTTCCTCTCCCCACAGATCCATCTGTTAGGGAAACAGGATCCATGCACAGCGCCTAGCACATAGTAAGCGCTCTCTAAATCTCAGCTCCCACCACCCATCACAGTTGGGAAAAACAACAGTCAGGGCAGTAAGTTTCAAATTGTGAAGAGGGACAACTTAACCAAAATTCCAGCTCTGGGACCTTGTCCTTCGTGTCACAGCTCAGGGCTGAGGTGGCTCCGGCACTGGCCTTGCTTTTGCTGGGGACAGACCAGCTTACCTTGCACACAGTGGCCCCTGAGGAGTGGTGTTGCCTGCCTGCTGCCATTCCCTGTGTCCAGCGCATCCCGTGTGCCTCACCAAAGCTCCCTCCCTGTCCCTCTCTTCCCACCCCATTCAGAGCCTGGGACTGTGGGGTGGGCAGCCACCGGTGAGGGCCTCCCCCAGACAACTGCGCTCAGTCCCAGCACTCAGTTCTGAGGATGGAGGGGGATGTTTCTCTGACGCCTCATGAGTCTGAGGATAATGCGGGCCCTGGCTTTCTGGGTCTAGAGGAAGAATGATGGAGGGGCTAGTGAACCCGGCACAGGCAGGAAAGGGAGCTAAGGAAGGTGCGAGGAGGTGAGCAGAAGACTGGCCGAGGGAAGGCGGTAGAATCCCAGGCACATGTGGGCGTGGCAGGGATGTGTGCTGCCAGCTCCATGGAGACTCAGCTCAGCAGGGCCTCAGGCACACTCCCCTCTGCTTAGACCAGTGATGGCGAACCTTTTGAGCTCGGCGTGTCAGCATTTTGAAAAACCCTAACTTAACTCTGGTGCCGTGTCCCATATAGAAATTTTTTGATATTTGCAACCATAGTAAAACAAAGACTTATATTTTTGATATTTATTTTATATATTTAAATGCCATTTAACAAAGAAAAATCAACCAAAAAAATGAGTTCGCGTGTCACCTCTGACACGCGTGTCATAGGTTCGCTATCACTGGCTTAGAAGCACAAAGCCGCTCTCTGAGCCTTCTTCTCCACGCCTGCACTCCAGGGAGCCAATGCCAAACATGACACCAGGACCTCTCAGCTCTGCCCAACAAATGCCCAAAGGCCCACTGCCTCTAGTGAAGGGAAGGGGCAGCCCGCTCACTGGCCACCCCCCTCCATCAGTGCAGCCCAGGACCCTTCCTTAAAGGCTGATCCTCTCCTTCCCAAGCACCATCTCGTGTGTTGCTTCATTTGTTCTTCACAACAAGCCTCTGGGTCAGGCAGGGCATATGTTATTCCAGTTTTATTGATGGGATCCTGAGGCTTGGGATGGCCTCAGTCACTTAGGCCAGAGGGTAATTGAATGGGGTCAGAACTCAGGTCTCCCTGGTCCTAACCCTCTTCCCACATGGAACCCTAACCCCAGTCCTGTGCTTCCTCCGCGATCGGTCGCAGGCGGGCCTGGCTGCTGTGTGTGAGCGCGTGTGCACATGCGTGTGATGCCGTACTGCTGAGGAAGGGGAGGGGGCTGGCAGTTTCTGATTTTTTCTCCATCTTGGACACTTTAGGTGCCACTCCCGGGAGAGCCAGATAGCCATGGTGTGTCGGGAGGAGTTTTCTCAGGACGAGACCTACGACGTGCAGATGGGTGATGACGCGGAGTACTGCAGTGAGCCCAGCCTGGTCTCCACAGACAAGTGAGCCCTGTGGCCTCTGCCCCGCGGGCCCGCATGTGTAGAGGGGTCTGGGTGAAAGGCAGGCCCTGGGGTCCCTCCTCTGGGAGAGATCTGGAAGGGGAAAGAGGTCACATGTCAGAAGAGCTCCTGCAAGGCAGCTGTCACCTCGTTAGGGACAGAAGCCCCAGACCCACACAGACACACACAGTCCCCTGGTTAGCTTGGCCCTTCCTCACAATACAGTGCTTTCAGAAAAAAACTTCTAAACAACGAAAAAATATATTTTATAGTGATACTCAGTTACACACATACACATATTGACCAGTAAACAAACGTTTGTGAAACTACTTATAATAAAGCTGCCAGCAGAGGGCACTGTTGGCAAATGGTGGCTGAGATTTTTGTCAGCGCTGGAATTTTGTAAGGGTTTTTTAACTGCAGATCTAGACCAATTAGGAGGTGGTGGCATTTACTTTGTTATGATCAGCACTTTTAAAAGAAAGCATAGCACATGATAGCACAGACTAGGATAAAATAAGAGGACATAAAATAACATATCCAATGTCACAAAGGTAAGTATCATTTTGTGAAACATTTGCTTAATTGCCAACGTATGTGTTTGCAGAGTCCCATAAAATGTATTTATGAGTGTGGGTTGCATTCAAAAAGTTTAAGATGCATTGTTTTAAGGCTTTCCTGAAAGCATTTTATAAAAAGGAAGGGCCAGCCCTTTTAGCCTTTAGATTTTTAGAGAATGCAAATTAATACAGTACATGGTCACATAATTTGGAAATCAGAAAAAGCATATGTTCCACCCGTTTTGGCGCTTATAGAGTGCTCTGCTAGGTCATGGTTAAACTGGCTTCTGCACGCAAGGAGAGTCTGCAAACTCGTTAGGAAGCTAAGATGATCTCCGAAGAGGAAAATGACAGAGATTTTCTAACTAATTGCTCACAGAGGGTACAACTGTGAGGGGTACAGGCATTCTGAAAAGATCCAAGTCAAGGTGGCCATAACAGGCGCCAGGCACAAGGTCAAACAGAAGCTGGGTCCTCAAGAATGGGTACGATTTGTTTAAAAGAAGTTATAATAGGGAGAGCTTACCAAGCTGAGAACGAGAGGAAAGGCTTAGAGCAGCGGTTCTCAACCTGTGGGTCGCGTCCCCTTTGGGGGTTGAACGACCCTTTAACAGGGGTCGCCTAAGACCATCGGAAAACACATATATAATTACATATTGTTTTTGTGATTAATCACTATGCTTTAATTATGTTCAATTTGTAACAATGAAAATACATCCTGCATATCAGATATTTATATTACAATTCATAACAGTAGCAAAATTACAGTTATGAAGTAGCAACGAAAATAATTTTATGGTTGGGGGTCACCACAACATGAGGAACTGTATTAAAGGGTCGCGGCATTAGGAAGGTTGAGAACCATTGGCTTAGAGCAGGGGTCCTCAAACTACGGCCCGCGGGCCACATGCAAATACAAATATTGTATTTGTTCCCATTTTGTTTTTTTTACTTCAAAATAAGATATGTGCAGTGTGCATAGGAATTTGTTCATAGTTTTTTTTTAAACTATAGTCCGGCCTTCCAACGGTCTGAGGGACAGTGAACTGGCCCCCTGTTTAAAAAGTTTGAGGACCCCTGGCTTAGAGGTTTTGGTTCAAAAACTTTCCTGAACATCTGCAGATGCTGGAAGTCAGGGGCTAGGAGCAGAAAGGCACTTGGTCTCTGCCCTCCGAGGACGCGAGTCCCAGAGGAGCAGAGTCAGTGGCCTCCTCTGTAAGAGGACAGGGTTAGAATGCAACCTCGGAGCGACAGTTGTGTCCACCAGGGGTAGTGAAGTCAACTTAGTGGACTGCAACTGACATTTTAAAAGAAATAGAATGGACTAAAGTAGAACGGAAAGTGTCAGAGTGCGGCGCATGATGGTGAGTGTGGTTCATGATGTTTAGTTCAGTCGTGTGTGTGTGTGTGTGTGTGTGTGTGTGTGTGTGTGTGTGTGTACCTGTGAGTCCCATCAGAAAGGCTTAGGAACCACTGACTTGATGCCCCGGTGTCCGTGACAGCTCTGCTGTTCACAGGATGATTGTGTGGAGCCCGTGCTGATGCAGGGGAGGGCAGGCCAGGGAGAAAGGGGTGGGGAGTTGGGGTGAAGTGGGGACTAGTCCTGGTAAAGAGTGTCAGCATGTGGAAGAGAGGAGCCCGGGCCATGCCTGGAAAGAACCTTGTGGGCCTAGAATTTTTTCCCAATTTTCTCCACAACTTTGACCCAAGAGCGCCCTCACTGCCTCTGATCAGAGGTGTGGGCTCAGAGCATCCCTGCTGCCCCTCCCCAAACCTTCCTGGGAGCACAAAGTGGGGGCTCCCTTCCCTGAGGAGCAAAGGAAACTGCCTTCTGGGGTGGCAGCTGTCCCTGTGGGTGCATGTCTCAGCCTCCAGGAGCAAGCCCCAGGAGTTCTCTGTTCCAGGCTCTCCTACCAGGATGAGGAAAGCCGGCAGTTGGCACCGCCAGAGGACAGGAGGGACACCCGGCAATCTCCAAAGAGGGGCTTCCTCCGCTCGGCCTCCCTGGGTAAGCCCACGCGCCTCGCTCTCAGATGTGTCAGCCAGTGGGCACCTCCGATGACTGGTCAGGCACTCAGGGTGACAGAAACCCTGGAGGCCTGGCTCTGACAGCCCCACACAGTGGGCTGGGCAGATTTCCAAAGCGACGAGAGGGAATCCAAGGGCAGGGCTTCTTGGCATCGGACTTGGACTTAAGCTGCGTGGTATGTGTCAGAGAAAGAGGAAGGGTAAAGAGGAGGTGTATCCAGACCTCTTCCCTCCCTGGGCCCAAATCGGCACAGACCCCGTCTCCTTTCCTGGCTCTGATGCCGGTTCTTCGGCTCCTTTGCAGGTCGGAGGGCCTCCTTCCACCTCGAATGTCTGAAGCGACAGAAGAATCAAGGGGGAGACATCTCTCAGAAGACAGTCCTGCCCTTGCATCTGGTTCATCACCAGGTATTCCACACTTTGGACAGGCCACTGACCACCCCCCAGTAAGCTAGACAAAGTCCCCAAGACACCAGTCTTCCCGGTCTCAGACCACTGCTGCATCTCCACCCCTAGCCTAGCAGCCCCCAGGGGAGGGGCTTTTTCTACCCAAATGAGAGCCTTAACAAAGTCTGTCATTTCCCAAGGTGGGGACCTAGGAACTACTGGTGAGCAGGAGCTCCCCACACGGTCCCAGGATCCACCTGAGCTTTCTTCTTACAGTGGCACAGGTGTCCCCCACCCCACCCCCAAGACATTAGCTTACACCATAGGGCACTCAAGCAGATGTGGTTCTACCTATAGTTGCAAGACACCTGGAAATTGAGTGGCACAAAAATCTATCCACTGAAATACAGAAATGATCGGAGAACCAGCCAGCTACATGGTCAGGAGTAGGGAGTGATATCCCAGGAAAATGGTCCAGGGAGAGTTGACTGTTGACCTTTTTCTTTTAGCACAGATGGCTCTGCGGTATAAAATCCAAAGAGCATCAAAAATGCTCTTAGTATCTCAGAACTAATGGAGTCCTCAAGGAATTATCTAAGGCAGTCTCTTACCTCCAGAAAAATTAGGCTGTAACCTAGAGTTTCCTAAACCTTTTACCTCTTTAATTATGCACTCCCTTACAACAGACATATATTTTCCTTTTTTTTTTTTTACAAAGGCATTCAACGGCTGATTAAAGTTTATGATCTGCACTAGAGGCCCACGAAATTCATGCACTGCAGGGGGAGGTCCCTCAGCCTGGCCTGCGCCCTCTTGCAATCTGGGACCCCTCACTCCTTACCGCCCACCTACTTGCTGCTCCTTACCACTCAGCTCGCTGCTCCTTAGTGCTGCCACGGAGGTGGGAGAGGCTCCCACCACCACTGCTGCACTTGCCAGCCGTGAGCCCAGCTTCTGGCTGAGTGGTGCTCCCCCTGTGGGAGCGCACTGACCACCAGGGGGCAGCTCCTGCATTGAGCATCTGCCCCCCTGGTGGTCAGTGCGCATCATAGCAACCGGTCATTCTGGTGGCTCCGCCATAACGGTTGCTTAGGCTTTATTATATAGATAAGATGGCCAGTGTGACTTGGCTAAGTTGACACTATTTCAGCTTAAAGAAATGCACTGTTTTGCTTAGCCTGTGTGGCATTGCCCGCATGCATACTATCTCCAGGGCCCAAGGACCCAGGCTGGGGACCATCAAGAGCAGTGGCCAGGGAAGGCTGGCAGGCTGGGGGGACACTGTATGTTATAGTTTCAAGGGTTTCTGGAAGTTTATTTCACTCATCTGTTCAATCATTCTGGAAGGCAAGAAACTGCTCTTCATTTACATTCTCCCTTTATGCCTTTCTACTACCTCCCACCCCCTTCTCTCTGCCTCTCGGGCTGGGCTCTCCCCCACGCTGCCACTGCCCCGTGGATGCAGCACATCAGAGCAGGCGTCACGGCAGCTCACCTGGGGACCACGACCCACCCTCAGGGCACTCACGCACCAGGGGGGCAGAGGGCACAGCGTGTAAATAGTTCAATCACAATACAGTGTGAGATCTGAACAATAGTTCAAAAACAAGGTGAGCTAGAGATTGGCAAGACATCATTAACGGCCAGATTAATTGTAAGAACTGAAACAGTAAGCCCTGGTTTTGTCTCTTTGGACGCACAGTGTGCTTTTGCGCAGACCCTCCTTCACTTGGACCTCACATCAGCCCGAAGGGCAGGGAGACGGTGGGCACTGTGTGTGGTTGTACAGGTGACCCAGGCACATCCTCTCCAGTCAACTGACAAGGAAGCCAAAGGGGGAGAATTCGCAGCTGATGGGGCAGGGCCAGTGCTGATGGGCAGGTGACCCTGACTCCAGTCTGTCACAACTTTTGGAATTTAGAGGAGACAGGGTTGCTTCAGACCGAGGTCATCAGGAAATGCGTTTAGGACGGTTGCAGTGTACACTGGGTCTTGATGAGGGAGGATTCAGACGGGTGACATGGTGGCGTGTGAGCTCCAGGCAGCTGGGACCAGCTGGAAGCAGTCGCTGCCGAGAGGCCTGCCTCCGGCCTGACCATTCCCGTAACCCGCGCTCCTTGTGTGTCCACAGGCATTGGCAGTGGCGGGCCTGAGCCCCCTCCTCCAGAGAAGCCATTCTCCCACCACGTTCCCCCGGCCGTGTGCCACCCCCCCGGCCACGCCCAGCAGCCGAGGCTGGCCCCCGCAGCCCATCCCCACCCTTCGGCTGGAAGGAACCGAGTCCACCGAGAAACTCAACAGCAGCTTCCCATCCGTCCACTGCAGCTCCTGGTCGGGGGAGCCCACACCCTGCGAGGGGGGCAGCAGCGCCACGCGGAGAGCCCGGCCGGTGTCCCTCACTGTGCCCAGCCAGGCCGGGGCCTGGGGCAGGCAGTTCCACGGCAGTGCCAGCAGTCTGGTGGAAGCAGTAAGTGACCCCGAGCACGGCAGACAGGGGGAGGAAAGGCCCGAGGCAGAAGGCACTTTGCATGGAGAACAAGAAGGGGGTACCCGGCTCTCTCCCAAGTGGACCGGGTGTCAGTCTCCTGGCCTGAAAGGCCCTCACTGCCAGAGCCGGCAGACGGCCTGGCAGGCAGGCAATTCTGGACTTCTGTGGGGGCTGGGCTGACGCAGAGGGAGGGAGAAACTGAGCACACGTCCCTACCACAGGCCAGTGAAGCGGAGAAAGCTGCGGGGTTCACCACACACCGGGTGTGCCGTCTGCCCGGCCGTGAGCGTGGGCTGCCTGTGCGCACACAGTCAGGTCTGACTCCCGAGCCTGGTCGCTCATAGAATAACCTGCGGGGGTTGGAAACCTATGACCAAGTAAATGGGTATTTTTAAAAACTCTTTGATGATTCTAATTCCCAGCCAGGGTTGACAGCCTCTAGTCTAGAACAAGAGCACCTTCGGGCCCACCCTGCTCTGCCCTGGTCAGACCACCAATTGCATACTGGCACCATATCTCAGGGCACCTCTGGCAAATTGGAACAGTCCCAAAGGAGGATGACTGGGTTGGCAAGGTCTCTAGAAACCACTTTGTATGAGAACTGGTTGAGGGAATTCGGAAAGTAAACCTAGAGAGGAGGTGACTAACAAAGCCGTGATATGCCGCGCTGGCCGGTTGGCGTGTCGTCCCATACACCAAAGCAGGGGTCCTCAAACTACGGCCCTCGGGCCACATGCGGCCCGCGGAAAACATTTATCCAGCCCGCCGGGTGTTTTTGCCGCCGCTGCCTGTTGCTTAGCAGCCGACTAGTTTTTTTTTAAACTATAGTCCGCCCTCCAACGGTCTGAGGGACAGTGAACTGGCCCCCTGTTTAAAAAGTTTGAGGACCCCTGCACCAAAGGGTTGTGGGTTCACTCCCCAGTCAGGGTGCATATGGGAGGCAATCAATTGATGTTTCTCTCTCATATCAATGTTTCTTTCTTTCTCCCTCCCTTCCACTCACTCTAAAAATAAAAACATATCCTCGGGTGAGGACTAAAATAAAAAAGCCATGACATGAATCTTCATCCTGTAAGGCTTCTGGGTCCTGGACCAGAGGTCTTAAATGCAGGGCTGGAGCACCTGGACCAACCTGACAGGCAGACTGTAGCTAACACAAGGCAATCTTTCCAAAATGAGGGCTTTCCTGTGAAACAGGGAGCCCCCAACACTTGACATGTGCAAGCAGAGACGATGCCTGTCCAGTCGTCAGGCTGTCGCAGGAGGTGGGGAACGAAACCAGATGACTTCCAAGTGCCTTCTACCTCTAACACCCTGTGCTTCCAGGGGCTTTGTTGCCTCTTATTCAGTCCACACATCTCTGCTGAGCACCTGCCATGTGTAGACTGTGTTCTAGGTAAGGAATAGGGTTTCTGCTCTGATGAGCTCACAGGGTGGTGAGGAAAGACAGATAATAAGCATGCTGGGAAGGGTGGAGCGATGAAGAAAAATTACGCAAGATAAAGAGTAAGCGGGGGTGCGGGGGGGGGGGCGGGGAGCAGGACTAACAGAACTTGAAGAAGTGTTCCGCGCTTCCCTCCACTGCTTCCCCTGCCCACTGGCCCACGGGGTGACTTCCCCACACCGGTCACTGAAGCAGCCTCTAGGGAGGGGGGAGGAGCTTTGGCTTTGCCCGCTGGCCCTTCCCAGCAGAGGCAGAAGAGGAAGCAGGGGCAAGCGCGGTGCTTGCACATGTCGTACTCAGGATCCGCACCCACAGACAGGCAACGGGCAGTGGGCAAAACAGTTTCACCAAAAGAGAATGAGGTTTCTCGGAGAGAATGATACGGGATGCCAGGGAGGAGAAAAGACAAGGGCAGAGGGTAGAACCCTCTGCTGTGAGACTACCCCCTGCAGCCCCTCGGTGAGCCAAGTTTTCATGTATTTGTAACAGTTGTTGAGTACCCCAGCCCAAAGCTCTCTCCTCCAGCCTGTGCATCCTGAATCTCACTCCTTTCCTCTGAGCACCCACCACACACTCATGCACTCACACACGCACGCAGACGCACGCACACACTCCTGAAGTTTCCAGTCAGAAGTCCTTTGCTCTAACCCTAAACAGAAGAGTTGAGCTGCAGGAATAATGTTCCTCTTTGGTTTTTCCTCATGGCCCTCCCCCCTTCAGGTCTTGATTTCGGAAGGACTGGGGCAGTTTGCCCAAGATCCCAAGTTTATCGAGGTCACAACCCAGGAGCTGGCTGACGCCTGCGACATGACCATCGAGGAGATGGAGAACGCTGCAGACAACATCCTCAGTGGGGGCGCCCAGCAGAGCCCCAACGGCACCCTCTTACCTTTTGTTAACTGCAGGGACCAGGGGCAGGACAGAGCAGGGGGCGAGGAGCCCGGGCCCTGTGGGCCCAGCCAGGAGCCTCAGAGGAGCGAGGAGGAGCTGCAGGACAGCAGAGCCTACGTCAGCAGCCTGTAGGAGCTGGGCTGGGAGATGATGGGTTTTTTATTTGTCTCAATGTTCCTAAAGGGTTCGTTTCAGAAGTGCCTCACTGTTCTCGTGACCTGGAGTTAACGGAACAGCGTCTTCATTCATTTCGTTGGGACAAGACACAGAGTTGGGTGGTATGGAGAGTCAGCTTTTTGGGGGGAAGAAAAGCAGCAACCCCAGTTTGTGTCCAAGGAGGGAGAGTGGTGAGGAGGAGGAGGAGGAGGAGGAAGGGTCAGGGAGGAGCGAGAGAAGGCCGCCTGCTCTCCTGTGGTTTTGCAAGCCCTGTGCCAGGAACCAGCCTTCACCTTGGGCACAAAAGAGACCCTCAGCTTCCTGTGGTAGCCCCCACCGAAAAGGACCTTTGTCAAACGGGTGTCTTTCAACTTTGCTTGTACAAAAATCATTTTGCACATATTGTGTACGAGCCTCACTGTCCCCATAGAGCCAGGGCCCTGTGGATCTGCAGAAGGAGGCAGGCATGACTCCCACCCCCCACCCCCACCAGAGAGGGAAGAGCAGGCAGCAGGAGGCCAGGAGCTGGGAGCCAGGAGGGAGGGCGCTTGGCCAAGAAGCAGCTGCCCCACCCCCACCTCCAGCCGCCTGTTGCCGCCTGTGTCAGGATCACCTTCCCCTCACTGGCCCCCAGCCCAGCAGCCCAGCCCGCAGCGGCCAGCCTGCAGCGGAGGCGGCGAGGGGAGCGGCGCCCGCAGGAAGGGGCAGCCAGCACTGGACAACGCGAGGAGGAGCTGGGTTCTGCTGAGTGCTCCTTTGTTCTGTGGTTTGACATTTCTCTTGACAGCATGTTGCAGTTTTCATTTTGTTGTTTTGGGGTTTTTTATTTTATTTTCCCAGGAGGAGGGGAGGAAGAGGACTGTTTACGAAGTTCAGTAGCCACCACCTTATTGTTTTCACTCTTGCAAATGTAAATCGGGTTCAGTTTGATCCTGTTATTAAACGGGTGTGGTTTCCTTTTCCTACAGAGGGTCCTTGCAGTCCCTGTGGGAGAGTTTTACCAGACGTTGTGTATGCCCAGTAATTTGTATGGTTCCCATAGGTAGTAAACATGGTTTTCGATTGGTTTTATAATTTAAAGGTAATCAGCAATGCACTTCACAGGGGCTTGCACAGATGGGTGCCTGAGGGGTTCTCTCCCACGCTGGGTGTGTGGGTGGCCGGAAGAGAGGAAGCGTGTTCGAGAGTCTCTGAGTGTGATCCGCATGTAGTGGGTTGTCTGTTTGCGTGTGTCGGCCGTGTGTACGTGCGCCCACGCGGGGGCCCTGCGCCTAGTGAGTGTGCAGCGCCCCATTTCTGGGTTAACTGGGGGGATCTGAATCCAGGGCCATTTGAGAGCAAAAACAAATCACTGTCTCTGCTTCTGAAACAGGAATCAGTAACTTTGCATTTTCTGTCCCACAAGATATGCAAAAACAATGCAATAATATTCATTTTAAAAATACAATTGTGAGTCTTGTTGGCATTAAAACTGTATTTTAAAAAACACAGAAATTTAAGGAAAAACTCAAGAAGGTGTTTTGCTTCTATATATTCCGTGTAATGTTTTATTGCATTGATAATGTTTCTGTTGAAGAAACCGTTATACTTGAATTCAGGTCAGTTTCAGTATTTTACAATTATTTTTTTAAAATTGAATTGCAATTGTGCCAAGCGAATATAATGAATTAAGTTTGTTTTTGAATTCACCTCTTGTATATTTTGCTGCATGTAAGTAAATCATTTTGTATTTGGAGTGTGACAAGCTTTACCTTTGAACTCTTAAGTGCTTTTCTATATGTGGTTGGGGGAAGGGAGGCTTTTTTTTAATTTGTACAATGAGCAAGGGTATCACCAGTGTAAATCATTATTCTGCTACCCACCGACAGGTTTGGACATTACTGTTTTGCATATCTTGTGTTTGCTTCCGTTTCCCTCAATTTTCCCAAAACTATGACAGACATATTTGTACTACATCTCATTTGAGAGACCAGGCCATAGCTCACTCCAATCGTCACTCCATCTACTCTGCACCAGTTCTCTGTTTGGGTATTTCTCTAGGGACAGCCCTTACTGTGAGGGGTCGTGAGGCATTCTGACCGGCCTCTCTCCTCACTGCGCTAGCCTCCGCGTCCCCTGGAGGAGAGGAGAGGTGGCTGACTTTTCACTTCCACGGCACAAGTTTTGCTCAGTGGTTTTTCAGGAAAGTATACACTGACCAAGAGGATAGGAGGAGAGTTGGGCTGGCAGGAGGGGAAGGACATCCTGGCTCTGGCAACTGCTCTACCCAAACTCAGACAGCAGGGGCTAGAAAGAGGCAACCAGGTAAAATGCTTGTCCATCCAAAAGTCAGCTCTGTCTTGCTCATCTCTCCATCTTTCCTTCACTCTGGGGCAGGACTTCCCGCAGACTCCCGTGGTGTGTGTGGCAGCTGTGAAGGGGACCAGGACAAGAGACGCAGCATCGGGGGTTCACAGGGGTGGTGGAACCAGAGATTTTGTGGGAGCTTCTCTTATGCCAGTTTGCATCACCCTACTGATGCTGCCCTTTGAATAGATTCCAGCAGTGATGGTCAAAAAGGGACTCACTTGGGGGAAATGGGACCCAGACGTTCATCTGGATTTTACCCACTGGATCTCTCCCAGACCCATGTACTCTCAGCCTTTCCTGGCACTTATATAAGCAAACTAGAAATTTAAATTGGAGAAGTCCATTCCTCAGTGAAGATGAGTTTTGTTTTCATGAACTGATTCATGAAAATGTGGAGAAATGGGCCAGAAACTAACAAAAGCATTTCTTCCTGTTTCTCTGAGCCCAACTCATCCGAGCTTTCTTGGCTCCTTCTCGGTGCCATCAAGGTCTTCTAGACACTAGGTTTAGGGGTTACCCTTTGTCTGGTTTCCCAAAATGCCTGCCACTGTGCCACTAAGATGTTAGTTATGATAGAGAGGGGAGCCCTTTTGGATTGATATCTGGTTCTTGCTGTACACTTGATCCCTAGATAACATTTGGAATCTTAATTAACACACACACACACACACACACACACACACACACACCCTTTTCATGCTGCGTTCTATTTTTTTCCTTTTGGACTTTGCATCGGCATCGCCACATCTCATTGGCCAGCAGCATGGGCTACAGGCTGGCTTGTTCCAGCTACTCCTAGGGTCCTGCCTAAGTACGGTCCCCTTGTTTTTCACCAGTTACACCCAAAGGCTCCCCTCTCCTTTATAGTCAACTCTGTCCAGAAGACCAGCTAGCCGTCCTCCCTGCCCCATAGAACAGTGTCAGCTGTGACCAGGGCACTTTGCCCGGTGTGGCTGTGAAGGAAAGGAGCTTCCGTGACAGCGCCCAGTCGAGTGTCTTTCTGAACCTGACCTCATGCTGGACTCGTGCAGGATGGACATTTGATGCCTGTCATCATCACAGACTAGTAAAATCCGTTGTGAAATCAATGAGCCTCATCCACCGTGTACTGGGTGATGTAGAACTTTCCCCATGACCTTGAAAAGCAAAGTGGTCGAATCTTCTGAAAACCTTGGGGCGGCAGGAGAAAAGCAGACGGTGCTGAGTGAGGACCAGAAGGACTTGGAGAAGTTCAGCTTAAGTTCTGGGTTTTGGTGAACTTTGTTTTTATTTTCTTCCGAAGAGCCCAGCCTCCTTCATATCCAGACCTTGATCTGTTACCAATTATTCGTGTGCATGGCTACGTTAAGCAGAGGGGTTTCCAGCTGTCTCCTTTCTGCCTGTTCCTAGAAGATTCTTTTGGGTCTTCAGGTAAAAAGAGAAGACTTTCCCCCTAGATGTTGGCTTGATTCATGAATTTTTCTCTGCTTTGCTTCAGAAGCTATTAGTTCCAGTCCCTTCCTCAGCTTCTAGTCTGATAGACATCCCTCTGACTGGGCAATCCAAGGGCAAAGGAACAAGACTTCCTTACTCAGTCTTATTCTCCTCTGGGCCCTGCTCTCAAATTTCAGGAGCTTGTTTGGAGTGAAGCTGTCTGTCACTCGCACACCACCATCTCCTCGGGAATCCTGCTTAGCCTGCACTGGGCATAGTCCGGCCACCAGGGGAGAAGTGTGCCTCTCTGCCAAAGCAATGACTTTCCAAGAAATAAGCACGTAAAGAGGAGGAGTTTGGAAGTTGTCAAAAGGGTGATGGTTGTTTGACAGAGGCCCGTCCCTCCTAAAGGCCAAGGAATAGAACAAGAACCTGAATTAGGCATAAAGAACCCTGACAGTCAGCGTTTTAGCCTCATCACACCAGAATCATACCTGTTGCTAAGGAAGATGACGGCCTCTCCATCCCTACGGAACCCGAAGAATTGAAATATCATCATCTAAGAGTTAGAAGCAGTTTAGCAAAGAGACCAAGAGAAAGGGCAACCTGGTTTTAGAAGGACCTCTTTCAGCGCCAAGGGAGCTGAAAACTTGCTGATAGAGTCCAGGCCAGTTCTGATTTTGAAGATATGGCTCTGGTCTGGGGAGAGTGTAAGCACAGGGGCTTAAGGGCATGTTTTGACTTCCTGTGTGTCTGTTCCCATGTTATGGGAAGAAGTGTCCAGTTCAACCACTCGCAATGGCCAGTGGAGAGGCCCATGTCTCGAGGATCTACTGTGGAAGAAGATAAAAGTAAAATTTTTTCTCACATTGTTTCCCAACCAAATCAAAGTTCTCTGGCTGGATGTGGGGTGCTGTCACCCTGTCTTCCCTCTCTGCGGATACCCCGCCCTCGTGTTAGCCAGCGCACCACCGAAGCAAGCCCCGGTCAGAGGCAGGGGGTGAGGCTCAAGGTCACCACCGCCCAGCTTCTCCAGCAATACAGCTGAGGAGACATAAGGGAAGGCGATGAGGGAAGGAAGTGTCCTGCAACTGTTGGACACTTCCCTAAGCAGCTCTCTCTATTTCAGCCTCTTGCCCCAACTCCCCAGGTCCCCTCCCCTCTCCCCACCACTCTAGTGAGAGAGAATGAAAGGAGTCCCGTGTGCAATTCTTACATAGTTTTTTGTGAAGCCATTTCTGGTTCTTACTTTATTTATTTATTTGTTTGTTTGTTTATTTATTTATTTTTTCAAAGCAATGAAGCATTGCCTTGTGGAGCCAGATACCAATACAACAGGTAAACAGGTATCTGCCAGGTTTCCACATTGTTGGGAAGACACTTGAACAACACGTGCACACACATACACAAATACACATACACACAAATATACTCACACACACATACACTCACACACACACACACACACACACCCCAACATCCTTGAGGGACAAGTGCTGGTGCCATGGCTGAGCTCTAGACAAATGACTTTGTCTCCGCCCAGAAGGCTGAGCACTGTATAGCCAGAGATTGGGGAGAGGGTGGAAATAGTGCCTGAACCTATCATGACTAGGAATTAAGTAAACATCTTAATTCATCTACACTAAGAAAATGCTACTACTCCTAAAGTCAAGGCCTTTTCCTCACATGATTTCAAGGGGCTCAGCCCCTATCAGATGCGGGGAAAGACCTCTGCCTTCTGGTGGATTGGGAAGCACGGACTCTGTCTCTGGAAGGGAACTCGAGACCAATAGACTCTCCTCAGCTAAGTTAAAGGCACTCGCTCACCACTGAGAGCAGAGGCGGCGTTGATATTGTTCTCTACTAAATTAAGGAAGACACGACCAAGAACATACAATTAAACAAAAGCTTGAAGTGTCACACCACCAGTCAAATATCTTCCACTCCAAGGAGGCTGGCCTTTTCACAGGTGTGCTCCCGCTGTGGGGCAGCCCATGCTCCCAGTTTTCAGGATCTGAATCATCTGATTTGTATCAGGCTCCTAGAAAGGGTACATGACACTTAATCTTCCATGAATCAGTCATTTGCTACACACCTACCATCTAAAAGTCACTCGCACACACCTCATAAATCGGAAAATGCCATAATCAGACAAAGTCCTTGGTGGGTAAGTAGTAAGAGGTGATTTCTATGCAAGGAAATACAGAAATGGACAGAATAATTCCTGTCCACAGTTTGGGGCTGAGAACTCTTGCTCTGATGTTTGTAGAGCCCTTGAGTTTAGAAGCAGGGGGGTAAGGGAAAGAGGTGAGCAGATATCAGCCTTGGCGGTGGCGCTGCTACAGGAGCCTGAGGGCTGCACATTTCCAAGGCCCCCGGGAAGTCCCTTCTGAGCCTGCAGCCGGGAGGAGAGAAGAGAAGGCCACTTGCTGCAGAGTCACAGGAAGTAGAGGATGGGTCACTGGGCCCTGTCCCAAGCCCCTCCCCCCAAGGACTCCCAACATGGAGAAACTATACTGAGGCTTGAAAGGAGAAAACAAAACTTGAAAACCAAGGGTAGACAGCTGTAAGCCAACAATCCCGTGCAAAGGGCTCCTTCAGAAGGCAACTCAACGCTGTGGGCACCTCTCTGCTTGCTCACGCCGCACATCACACATCAGCCACGTCCATTCCCCCGCACCTGGACTCTATCTCTTGACTCCCCACCCAGGCTGTGCACCACCCAGAGCATATGCTGGTCTCCCCGTGCCTGGGGGAAGAAGGTCTAGCACAGAAGTAGGCTGTGGATATCAAAGACATACACAGGATTCACAGCCTGGGATGGGAGCGGTGAGAACAACCTGTGGAAAAACACACACGTTCATTAAGAAATAGGGTGGCAGGTCCCCAGTTGGTGAAGCACTGGAATGTCTATTACTCTCATAATTTTCCGGTTTTATTTTAACCCCAGAGGTACCAAGCAAGACTTCCCTTCATGTAAGAGGCTCCAGGTCCAGCCCGCCCATCCATCCCTCTTCTCCTCACTTCCTCCATCCTCTTGCTCAGGCCGACCTTCATACCCCCAAACCAAGCTGTGTCATGCTTGTTCTCAGAGAGATGT